AAACATCCACAAACACTCCTTTATTAACATATCCTTTCAAAACCCTTTTTATAAAATCCTCATTATTTCCTTTATCTCTTCATTTTAATCACATCTAATCCTTCCTTATGCACATATATCACTTAATGATACCAAAGTAACCCATAATTTTAAAAAAACACTAGCAAATGAGAATTTACTTTATGCCAGGAATGAGAGAGAGCACATATGTGAATAAGAAGAAGAAGATAAGAAGTGTAGGAAACTTACTTTCCTCTTTCTTCCTAATTAAACTTCCCTATTTATTTTTTTAATTTCATATCTTCTTAAAAGACTAAAATGCCCTCTTAACTTTTCTATTGATACAATTTAGTCTACACACTATTTTGAATCCTTTTTCTCATCTTTTAATACTTATTCAATTTAAATCTTAAATTTTCAAATCATTTCGATATAGTCCCTGGTCTAATATTTGGGATATTACAATAAGCTATAATTATTGTTAAAAAAAAGTTGTCACAACAAATAATGAGATTCAAGTTTTTAGAAAAATAGTGTTTGTCGTTATACGCTTTAATTATAGTAACAAAATGTATTGTCACAAAGATTTCCCTCCATATTTTTTTGCGCCAAAAAGGTCATGTAGTGACAAATTTAGTAACTATAAGTGTTAATAATTACTGTAAAAACAATTGTTAGAAAAAATAATGATATCCATGTTTTTGTGTCAAATTATATTTGTAGTTATAAATTTTAACTATAGTGATAGTATATATTGTCATAACTATTTTTCTCCACTTTTTTTGTTTCAAAAGTTATATTGACAATTTTTAAAATTATAATTTATAGTTATTGTTATAGAAAAAATGATCACATCAAATAATAAAATTTAATTTTTTTGTAATTAATTATATTCGTACTTATATATTTTAATCATTATGAAAAATTATACTATCAAAACCATTTCTCCATATTTTTTAATGTAAAAAGTGTTATATAGTAACAAAATATATTGTCAAAAAGATTTTCCTCCATATTTTTTTGCGAAAAAAAATCATATAGTAACAATTTTTGTAACTATAAGTATTTATAATTATTACAAAAAACATTTTCACAAAAAATAATGGTATTCATATTTTTGTGACAAATTATACTTGTAGTTATAAATTTTAATTACAGTGATAACATATATTGTGATAAATATTTTTCGCCACTTTTTTGTTTCAAAAAGTTATATTGATAGTGAAATTAAATGTTAATATCATAATTTATTACATTTTTTTATCTATTTTATGATAATTTTGATATAATTATTAATATATATATTTTTAATTTATATCAAATATTACATAATTAATTATCTTCATTTCTCTTAATTTGTGTGCCTTGAATTCATGCAATCGAGAAACCTAAACCTAACCCAAAATGAAAACCCACTTAGCATTAAAAAAACCTAGTCACAAACCACTATATTTTGATACATCTTAGGCCGATTTCGATTTCGATTTCAATTTCGATTTCCATTTCTAGGGTTTGCAAGCTTCAGTCTCCTTCAGATCTCTGTTTCTCTCCCCTTCCACCTAAACCCTAAAGCAACACATGGATGCTGCTACTTAAATCAGCAAAAAGCGAAAGGTACCCTCTCCAACCTTCTGTCTTCTTTTCATTTCTTCCATATTCCTCCAACTGGATTTTATTTATTTATTTATTCTTTGTCATTTGTTTTCAGTTCGTCGCTGATGGAGTCTTCTTCGCGGAGCTCAGCGAGGTGTTGAAAAGGTAACTTGCTGAGGATGGATACTCTGTAGTTGAAGTTAGAGTTACTCCCATGCGCACTGAGATCATAATCAGAGCCACCACACCCAAAATGTTCTCGGTATTTTTCATAAATTTTACTTTCTGGTGGTGGGATTTTCCTTTTAAATATGGGTTTTAATTTATGATTCATTCGGGGTTTTACACGTGAGAAAGGGAGAAGAATCAGGGAGCCGACCTTTGTGGTTTAAAAGCGATTCATATTCCTTGAAGACAACGTTGAGTTTTACGCCGAGAAGGTCAATAATCGAGGCCTTTGTGCCATTACTCAAGCTGAATCTCTTCGTCATAAGCTCATTGTAGGTCTCGTTGTCCGTAGGTATATGCTCAATATTGATTCTTCTTTTAAAGATTTTATGTGTTTATGCAGTACTCATTTTTTATATGTTGTTTAATGTTTAAAATGAATTTTAATAATTAGGATTTCTTATATAATGTCATCTACAAAGAAGATTGGCATCTTACTACAATTTTTGTGTTGGAAGGTGACTAAACTAATTAGATGATATTTCCTCTGTTTATTTCATGCATGCTGAAATGCATTTCATTTCAATGCAGTAACCTTAGTAGAGGGAATAATATTAATTTTTTTTAATTTGTCTTTCCGTTATGGATTTTATTTTGTATGTGTATGATATGTTTAAAAGAACTTTTTCAGTAACCATAGTAGAGGGAAAATATTAAATTTTTCTTATTTTACTAAATGATCTGATCTTGTTTTGATTATTAAATATTTCAACATTTTGATTTATTTCACTTATATTTGTAGGAAAAAGTGAGAACAATCATACTTGAAGAAACTGAAAAAGGCATTGAAGTGAACGAACGTCAAATTTTAGAAAAAGTTTTAAATTCAAAATATGGTTACATTCGTGGACTTGGTTATGAAGTAAAACCTAGTAGTTCCAAAGTAATATTCTTTCACAATAATCAATATTAATTTCTCATCACAAAAAATTGTGATAAGTAATATTCTTTCACAATAACAAATTGTAACAAAATGATTTAGTTACAATAACACGTTAAATTTAGTGAAAGTAAAAAGTTATGTCAAATTTATTTCGTTCTAATATTTTGTTAAAAAATTGTGACAAATTTATTTGATCAAAATAACAATTTATAACAAATACTAATTTCTCATTATAAAAAATTGTGAAAAAAAATATTCTTTCACAATAACAAATTGTAACAAAATTATTTAGTTACAGTAAAAAGTTATAAAAATATTTAGTGACGAAATAAAAATAGTGAAAAAATAAATTTTGTTGTAATATGTCTTTTTGTCACGAAAACCTTTTTTGTTTGATGTTATAATTTAACTTAATTGTGACTAAATTTACTTCTTGTAATAAAATAATTATTTTATTTTAACAAATATTTTATATCTATAAGTTACATTTAGTGAGGAAATAGCAACTCCAACAAAATAATTGTTTTTGCCTTATGTATTTTCATCACAAAACCCCTTTATATTTGATGTTTAAATATAAGTTAGTTATGAAAAAAATGTACTTCTCGTGTCGAAATAGTTAATTGATTGTGACAAATATTTTATTGTGATAAGTTAATTATAGTAACGAAATTTCATTGTTACAATAAATACTATACAATGGTAACGAACACAATTTTGTCACAATATACTTTACATGATAAGGTTGTTCTAACAAACATGGTAACAAATAAAATTGGTCAGAATAAATATATCGTGAAAAATTTAGTACTTTTAGTGATAAATAATTTGTTGAAACAATCGAAATTTCTTACAGTGTATGTAATGCTCCGACAACTTTTCAGAGGTGTATGATAGTTGTTTTCTCATATATGGTGGAGGACTTCATGGAAATATTTATAGATGACTTTTTCATCTCGGGCGATGACTTTGACCAATGCATCGACAATTTATCTAAAGTATTGAAGCAATGTAAAAGGTCCAACCTTATGATAATCTGGGAGAAATGACACTATATGTCGATAGAAGCAATTGTATTTGGACACAAAATTTCTCGCCAAGCCATCGAGGTTGATAAACACATGGTGGAAGTGATTGAGAATCTACCTCCACCTACCACTGTGAAAGGCATAAGAAGTTTCCTAGGGCATGCAGGATTCTACAGGCAGTTCATCAAGGATTTTTCAAAGATTTCAAATCCTTTGTGTCTTTTGCTTCAACAAAATGAATGATTCATATTCAATGACGACTGCCTCAGTGTGTTCACAGATATAAAGAAAAAGCTTATCTCAGCACCAATTGTTGTTCCACCTGACCGGGACGCCTCTTTCGATCTGATGTGTGATGCAAGTGACAATGTTGTAGGGGCAGTGCTAAGGCAAAGAAAAGGTAAAATCTTCTATGTTATCAATTATGCTAGATGTACCCTTAATGATGCTCAACTTAATTATACAACTATTGAAAAAGAATTGCTTGTTGTGGAATTCGTTTTTGATAAGTTTAGGCCATATCTTATAGGAACTAATGTCATAGTACATACTGATCACTTTGTCGTTTAGTACTTAATTGTTAAAAAGATTCAAAGCCTAGGCTTATTAGATGGATATTATTGATGCAAGAATTTGATTTGGAGGTAAAGGATAGGAAGGGTACTGAGAAGAAAGTAGCTAATTAATTGTCTAGGCCGAAGAACAAAAATATTTTTCATGACATGAAGGATATTCAAAAAGATTTCTCTGACGATAAAATTTATTTGCCACGATAGTTCCGTGGTATGCTGACATAGTTAACTTTCTTTTTAGTGGTATTATGCCTCCAGATTTATCTAACTAGGGAAGAAAAAATTTAGACATGATGTACGCCACTATTACTGGGATGAACCATTCCTATTCAAGTAGTGTGGAGACAAAATTATCCGAAGGTGTGTCCCCGAAGAAGAACACAAGGAGATCCTATATCATTGTCATACATCCCTGTGTGGAGGGTACTTTGGTGGAATGAGGACTGCTGCAAAGGTCATCCAATCCGGATTCTACTGGCCCACCTTATTCAAAGATACATCCGACTTCTACAAGTCATGTGATCTTTCATAACGCACTAGAAATATATCGAAGAGAAATGAGATGCCATGGACAAATATTTTGGAAGTTGAACTCTTCGATGTATGGGGGATTAACTTTATGGGACCCTTCCCATCATCCTTTGGTGATTTGTACATACCTTGGTAGTAGACTATGTTTCCTAATGGTTTGAAGCCATGGCCACACCTCGCAATGATTACAAGACTATGCTGAAATTCATGGACAAAAATATATTCGCGCATTTTAGAGCACCGGGAGCAATTATCAGTGATGAAGGCACTCACTTCAACAACAAATTAATTGCTAAGGCATTGAAGAGATACGGGGTATGCCATAGAGTTGCCACGACACATATCCCTAGACTAATGGGTAAGTTGAGGTCTTCGATCGTGAGATCATATAGATTCTTGAGAAGATTGTCAACACTGTGGGCCTACTGCACAACATTCAAAACACCACTCGGAATGTCCCCATTCAAGTTAGTCTTTGGCAAGGCATGTCGTTTGCATGTGGAATTAGAATATAATGCTTTTTGGGCCATTAAGAAAGTAAATATGGATGCACAACTTGTTGGAGAGAGAAGATTGTTGGAGCTAAATGAGATGGACGAATTTAGAGCTCAGGCATATGAAAATGCCCTCATTTTCAAAGAAAAGACAAAAAGATGGCATAACAGAAAAATTTTGCCTAGGTAATGTTTTCATGGACAACAAGTACTGCTTTATAATTCAAGACTCAAGCTGCTCCTATGCAAGCTGATGTCTAGATGGTTATGATTGTTCATAGTACATCAAGTGCATAGTCACAGTGCAGTAGAAATCAAGAACATGGATGATGATTCTACCTTCTAATTGAATGGTTAATGACTCAAGACGTACAATGGAGCACCCATTATGCGTGATAAATCGGTGTCGTCACTCAATGATGCCCAAGAGTTTTCCCCTCTTTCCTAAACAAATTTTGTTGCTTAGGGAACAATAATTTGCACTCTGTATATAAATAATTTGTTTTTATTTTATTTTGCACGAGTTGTTTATTCCTATTTTAATCTCTAATTTTGTCCCTTTTAGCAGTAATGGTAAACGTGTAAGCATAGGGTTCACACTCACACATGGAAGGAATTTAAACCCTAAAATATTAGTTTTAGCAATACTTTTAGGAGGGAAACAAATATATGTCCCATTATTTTATTATTTTTGTCAACTCACATATCTTCCCATTTAATACCATATCTCATTTCCCTTGAACTTTTTACCAATTTACCCTCAAGAAACTGCCCACTACCAATATTTTTCCTCTAAAACTGCCTACCTCTATCTTTTACCTTTCATCGTTTCTTTTCACTTTCTTCTACATCTTCTCTTTTATTTTCTTCGAGTTTCAACCTCCTAAAACCCTCCAAAGCTACTGTAAAAATCACTTACTTTCTCCATAAAAAACTATTTATCATTGATCGCTTGAAGAAGAATCTTGGTGCCTCTACAACCGCCACTGCGACTACATGCTTACAGTGCTTCCAAACTGTTGGGGCCAAGGCCAAGGTCAAGGCACTGAAGAAACAACAAGTTTATATGGAGGACGACTTTGTCTTCCCTTAGGCTGGCGAAGAACCATTTGGGCTGGAAGTAATGGACATCTTCCGGAAACATAAGTTAGAGAAATTTGCCTAGCACACAAAGGTAGTGGAGCTAGCCATGGTCCTAGAGTTTTATGCTCACCTAGACGACCCATCCCAGCACACTGTGTACGTCAGAGGAAAATCCATATGGTTCACTCCCTCGTTATTAAACCGATACTTTAAGCTTGATAAGGTGGAAAATCAACATAAATATTCCTTGTCGAGGTAGATTCAGAGACATACGATGGTGTGTTGGAGGATTTGTTTTTTGGATGGGTGAAGTTTGAAGGGAATGCTCCCAACCAAAAGCGTGTGGATCACCAAGTCCTTAAGCCAGCCACTAAACTATGGAACCACTTTTTAAAACATAAGCTAATGCCTACCTCGCATAACATGATAGTATTGGTGAGGCACTTAATGTTACTCCACTCAATCATCTACGGACGCTTGATCGATGTGGACAAGATAATTTTTGAACATATTCACAAGTGTGTAAAGCAGACCCAAGACTTTGTTATCCCAGTCGCTGACCAACCTACTCCTAAGGAAGCATCTGAACAACACTCGAATCTTAATCCTGAAGTAAGCCAACCATAAGACGTTCCTACTAAACCCTCGCACACGGAAGAGATACCATCACCAGCAAGTACCCCGAGAACAAGGTGTTGCCTTAAGCGCATAATAGGTCGTATTGCTAATCCATCTCTATTTGAGCTTCCTTCAGACGACACTGGATCCAAAATCCCCCTCCTCTCAAATGACGCATAACCTACACGTCCAGCCGAGCCTCTCCCACACAATGAGGTACCATTCTTGCATTTACATCCGCATGATCGAGTAATTTTCCTTGCATTCATATTCATGCATTGAGGATAAGGCACCCCTCAAGTTTGGGGGATGTGTTGTACTCTATACTTAGGTTAATTGTATTTGATAATAATTGGTAGAAATAATTTATTAAGGATGCCCGATGATGAAAGAAAATTTTATTGCCTAGGCCAGAATTATTTCACATGACTATTGAAGGATAGAACCTACCATAGGACTTGATGCTTTGTGATCTTGTAACACGATTGTATGTTTTCTCTGCTTAAGGTACTTGGAAAATTTTTAGGGAAGAACTTCTTGCACGTCATGGCATTAAATGATTGAAAATATTGTGTTGAACTCCTTAATGTTTTGAATTATGTTGAATTGAAAATAAATGCCTCGACATAACTATAGAGGGACATTCCTCTATATGTTGGCATAACCTAGAAAAATTCTTTAATAAATTGTTTCCTTAGCATACGAGTGAATGAAAGTAGTCACATAATGACTCTACTTGACTAGCTTGGGGTGGAATGTATGCTCCGTTTCACCTAGAGTGTGGGATGGTAGGTGTGATGAGCTGACTACCCTTGGGCAGTATGCTAATAATAATAATAATAAAATATGGCAACACAAAGTATGACTAAATAGGAGTGAAACTATTCTTAGTGAATTATTTGATGCCTTGGAAAATAGAAGAGATTACTTTGGAGTTTTCTAAATACGTTAAAACATAGAATTGATACAATCACGCACACACACTGAACAAGAGTCTTGACCTAAGGGAAAGTTCTTAACTTCTCGTACAGTCTAGCATGTGTAGGCTAAATTTTTTGTTGAGGGATGAAATTTTTAAACAACATGATTGTCCTAATTTTTTACTTTACCGAGACATTTAATCTTTTTACCGTTTGTTATCCATTGCTTGAGGGAGATCAATAACTTAAGTTTGGGGGTGTGATAACTCTGTAAAAGATAGTTTTTTTGGGTCTTTTTACTTAGGTTATTGTGTGTCTAAATGTAATTTGTCATAGAATTTTAGTTGCATATAGTTGAATGTATAATACATTTGCATATGGTGAATAAGTTTAGCCGAGGAAAACTTTATTTGGTTTAACTAATGCTGCTGAAGAGGGAGGTTGTTTACTAGTTGTGTTGATGCAGAAAATCACGAAGGAGGAATTTATTTGTCGTGACAAAGCAATTCTCCAGGGCTAGAGGAATATAAGAAGATGATTAGTGAGGAATATATTTTATTGCTAAGGCAAGATTTATCTTACAAGTCTGATATGGCTCAATAGATCTGCTGACATCACTAGCCCAGCTTCAGCCTCATGTGCAATCATTCCCTTATCAAGGAAATTGACCACTACCAGCCACTATGTCATTTATAAAATGGGTATGTCAACTAGGGTATTTAGGAAATTTCTAAGGGGACTAAACCCCAAAAAATCCCATTATAAATACCCCATCATAGCTATTCGAAAGGAGGCACAATTAAGGAGAGAATATACCCTATGCTTGGAGTAAGCGGCTACAACATCCTACCTTTCCACCATTCCCACTCGACCTTCCTTGGTGCCCTCCATAGTTGGGCTTCATCGGAGTAACGATTAGGCCCTCGAGAGAGGTTGGCTGTTGTAGTAGGCATGGTGGTGGTCATAATGTCATGGCATAGGTCTTATTTTGGCAGTTTTTCTTCCTTTGTTCTTCATCTCCACATCATGTTAAGGGTTGTACTTAAAGAATGATTTTGGATGATATTCACTGCACCATGAATTATTTTACTTGGTCTTTGTTATCTTTTTGTTGAAACATTATTTGCTTGTTAATGAATAATGCAGTTCATTTATTATAAGTGTTGTTTTGTTCATTGTTTAAATATTTTACCTTGACACTGTAAGAGCTTTTGAGAGATTGTCTAGTGCCTCGGAAAAACATTCCTAGACTTTGTAAGAGCTTTCAAGAGACTACCATTTTTCTAAGAATATATGCCTAATATCGAGAGAGTTAGGGTATATCTACGTGAACAAAGGAACTAATATGGGATGGTGAGGTTCTAGTTTGCCTTAAAGATAAGGAGAGGTTTCATTGGACTAAAAGGGGTAAATACTTGAGTAAGATACGCAAAGACTACAATTTACACTTAGGGGTATTACCACAGAAACAGTTTGGCAAACCAAGGGTTGCAGCTCACACCGAGTAGTATTGTCGTAGTAACTGTCCTTGAATACTATAGTAATTCTATCGGGCAGCCTAAATCATTCTTAGCATAAAATAACTTATCGCCATAGGAAAACCAACCAAATGCTCTGTAAGAAGTCTGATTGTGTGAAGTTTTTCTGAATATATCGAACTCAACATTTTTATTTGCGCATACAACTTCTATTTGTTTACTTTTGCATATTTTTATTGCCTCGACCGAACTTCTCTGCACACCATATTTTACAATATTTCCTGGCTCTGCAACACTTTTCCATCTATTTATACCATTTAATTTCGTTTCCTTTCCTTAATTGATAAGAACCTTAGGACTAACTTGTGACATATAGTTCTAGCTACAGAAAACATAATAAATTCCCACCAATCCCTGCGACGACAATACTCAACTTACTACTTTATTACTTGCATCGATTGTGTACACTTGCGCATATTTGCTTGCCTTATCGTATACATTGACAAGCGATCACCTACGCGTGAAACCATCACAAACTAAGTATTCACTTAGTGAGGCATAATAACATAAATAAGGCATTTTAAAAACATATGTAAACCATTATAAGATCAAAATATGATTTATCGTATAAAATACATAAACACATAAAAACTGACATGATAAGCCAAGTTTCTATCAAATAACATGCGAATCAATATTTAGTATGCCCAAACTACCTATCAATCGATATATTCCAAAGTAATCTTTTAAAGGCCAATGTATGTCAAATGAGAATGCAAGGTACATGAGTTGTACATAAGTGCTAAACGTAAGTATAAGTACTGTAGTAACAACGACACTATACTAATATATCAAAATGGTAATTCACAAACTCATTATGAATACCATGCACGAACACATAGTGTCAAAAGTACACAAAGGTACTGATACGAAAAATGCAACATATTTATTAAACAAAATGATCGACAACCATCATACTCCAAGTATGTCAAAATGCATATATGACTCTCAATGCATATACAATATGCCTTTAAATCAAATTCACATATTAAACATTTATTATGAAAGATAGATAGCTTTTAAAATCAAAT